GGGGGGGGGGTATTGCCCGCTCCACGACTCTCATCAACTAAACCGGTTCTTTTTCACGTCGCTCAATGGCCGTTTCTGCTCGTAGAAAAGGTGACTTCGCTGTAAAACTCCCACAACGTTGTTTTTTTCTCGCCAGCTTTGCTCCAAATTGTTCCAACGTTTTCTGTTGTTGCTTAGTCCGTCGCTCAATTGTATTTAAAGCGTTGCTTGTCGGTGTCCTCCGATGGGACGTAGTGGCTATTCACAATGCCGTGACCCTCCTGTTAAGAGGACTCGCCCGCTGAATGAGATTTCACGGGGCTCCCAAGTGAGTTGCTCCCCGATGTCTTTACGAGGTTGGGCCGCGTGTTTCCTACGCACGAAGTCTGACGTTTCGCATCGTGGCCACGTGCTGGGAGCTTCTTCAAGAAGCACCGTCCCCCCGATGAGCATGATTGGCTACGTACGGCGCGAAAGAAGTTCAACACACGGCTCGCGAGTAGTCAAACTGAAATGATGAATTCTGACACCTGGATTTTTTCCCCACCAGAATCGGTTAGACGTGCCGTCACTTTAACTTAAAAAAACTTAAATGACCCACTCTGATGAAAATGATGGCCACTGTTTCAAAATTCCCTCTGCGTGAACGTGAAGCAACGCGTGCGAGATACACCCCTTCACAAAGAAGGCCCTATTATGTGCATGCAAGATGTGGAAACCCACCCAAATATAAAGGGCCTCTTGTTTGAATGTATAAAGTGTTGGGATACTATTTCAAAATTGAAGCTCTGCTGTGTGGGCATATTGAAGAGATGGACACCCCAAGGATGCCTGCTCAAGACAAGAGTCATTCCCTGCAAATATATAAACAGTACCAGTAAAGAGATATGGCACCCCTTCAAATTAAAAGCACCCTTGCATGAACATGTACGAGAGGGACATTCTACACTCTAGAATTGAATTACAGTATATGGACACCCGAATCAAAATAAAAGCCCCCTTGAATGGACAATTATTGTACTGTTTAAAGTAAGAAACGGACACTTCTCAAAGTTAAAGTGCAAAAATGTGAATGAATAAAGGCAACCATTCAAAATAAAAGTCCTGTTGCACAACCATACATTCAAAAGGGGCACCCCAAAGAGTAACCACATAGAAAAAATGGACACCATCAATCAAAATAAAAGCCCACGTGTGATTGGCTCTTGAATGGTGAGAAATTAGCTGGTTCATTAATTAATTTTGTGTTCATCAAACCAACTGACGTCATACTATAAATTATTTAAACTGTTATTATTATTTTTTGCCAGATAAGGCCCACTGAGCTATGTAGTTCTTTTTCAGAAGCGACCTGTCAACAAATGATAGCTCAACGAAGTGGCTTATCACGTGGAAATATAGAGCAGCCAAATATTCTAAACGCATGTTCCTAAATGTGCGGGGGAAAACCGGAGGACCCAAATATACAGCAGCAGGCGTCAGGGTCGGCATCGAACCCACGACCTCCTTCATACCAGGCGAGGTAGTTAACATCTAACCACGGGGAGAGAGAGACACGCAAACTCCAAATATACAACAGGCGTCAGGGTCGGGATCGAACCCACGACCTCCTGTACACCAGGCGAGGTAGTTAACATCTCACCACCGTGGCGCTCCAATGACGTCAGATCAATAACGGGAGGGGGTGCAGAATCCCTCCCCCCCTCTTGAGTAGCACTGCTTGAATCATCATCCGCGCACGGATCCTCCAGCAGGCAACGCGGCAGCAGAGGGGGCATCGCCTGCTCCTTCGGTTCGCGGTTCGGGGGGTCGGAGTGGGGGGGTCTGGGGGGGGGGGGTGTGGGGGGGGTGTGGGGGGGTGTGGGGAGGGTGTGGGGGTCGGAGCGGGGGGGGTGTCCCGGTCGAGAGTGGCCCCGGGATTTTTGCTCTCAAGCCGGCGGCGTCAGCTGATTTGGTCCGCAGGGGGATTCGGCACGCGACTCGGCGATGGGTAACGAGGGGTCGCTCGGTGGCTGGTGGCGAGGGGCGGGTGGGGGTGGGTGGAGAAGTTGACCCCCCCCCCTCCCCCCCCGGCTCTTTAAGGCTCTCACGCGCCTGAGGAGCACGCGCGGGTTTTATCGGCACGAATTCTCGACGTGTCCGTCCGCAACACGCGGGGCCCTTTGTAACCCCCCCCCACTCCCCCCCCCCCGCGCGCGCTGAGTCACGTGTTCGTGATGTACCCCCCCCACCACCACTTCCTCACCACAAAGACAAAGGTCCCCCGTGTAGCCTTGACAGACTGTTTGGGCAAGTGCTGTTAGCGAGACGCGCATACAGATGTGCAACGGGCAAAGTGTGTGGCGCCACTGCACACGAGGGGGTGGGTAGTGGCCGCCACCACGCCCGGCCGCCTTTGTCTCCCCAGCGGCGATGTTTACACACTGCACCGGGTACTCATTTGAGGGCTGAGTCGACCTAGGGGAGGCCCAGGACCGGTTCAGATAATCGTCACCGGTGGTGTTGGCCGTGAGCGGGAATCCCACATCCACAAGTCCGTGCCTTTACCTGCTGGAGCAGCTGGTTATCTCCCTCCTCGCCACACCTCGGCGGCGCGCTAACCACTACACTACCGCTCCCCACCCGAACCGATGGAGCTTCACATTACGTGGGCTCCTGTAGCCTCTCCTCGTCTCCTCTCATTTGTGCTACGCCCGGAGCGTCTCTGATCCTTTCTCTACACCATCCCCCGGCGCCTGTCTTCCTGTCTCCATCATTATACATTTTTGTTCGGTTCCTTTATTACAAACACACAAAACCACCGCCTCCCTTCCTCCACCACCACCACCATTGCATGCACGCACAACCGCGCGTCTGGTGCGCACACGCGGGCGAGGAAGTAATTTCCCAAACGTGCAGGCTTATTTGTTTATTTGCAAGACAAGCGTGATTGTGCCGACGTGCTTATTGGAGCAAAACTCTGTGTGTGTGTGTGCGCGTCTCTTATCGGCTGCTTCCACGCCACTCCTGACCCAATACTACTGAAACTCACCGTCTCATCGGGGCGCCTTGAGTTTGGCTCGGTGAGCATCACAACACATTCCGCTGAATCATGTGTACAGTGTATGAAAAATAGCAAACAGTGAGATTCCCTGGGAGAACAAACACCACTCTCTCTTCTCGGGCCCCTTGGTCATTGCCGTGGGAGTGTTTGGGCCATTGAAAGCCAGATCCAACGATGATTCATTGCCAAGGAAGTCCACTCGGGTCACCACATTTTCCACCCCGGACCCAACCACGGAGGTCGTGGGCTTTCGATCCCGACCCTGACGCCCGCTGTAAATGTGGAGTCTGCATGCTCCTCTCTCTCTCTTTCCCTGTGGTCGTGTGGATTTTTCTCCAGGTCCTCCGGTTTTTCCCCTCCACATTTGGAAACACACGTTTAGAGTGTTTGGCTGCTGCTATACATGCCCGCGTGATGATGAGCCACTTTGTTTAGCTATTATTTGCGGCCAGTCTGCTTATGAAAAAGAGCTTCTTCTTGGTTCTTTCGGTAAAGTCACGTAGAAGGGAAATAATAAAGTAATAAAAATAAACATAAAATAATTCTCACGACGTTTCGGCCACAACGCAAGCAGCCGTCCTCAGGTGAAGACGCTGTCTCCCAGACAGACCTGGTCTTCACCTGAGGACGGCTGCTTGCGTTGTGGCCGAAACGTCGTGAGAATTATTTTATTATGTTTTATTTTTATTACTTTATTATTTCCCTTCTACGTGACTTTACCGAAAGAACCAAGAAGATGAATCCCTGTAGTCACGAAAGCTTTAAATCGAAAAGAAAAAAGAGCTGTACGTTATTGCTCAGTTGGCCCATATCTGATAAAAAAAAAATAAAGTTCATCGTTTAAAACCGCAACGGTCAGCACGAGCTCTAATGTAATATACAGCAACCTGTGCAGTATTCTGTATTAAAGGTCACCACAGCAAAACTCTATCGGTACCAGATCTCGGTACAAGCTAAGTCCCGCTGCCACCCAATCCTGGGATTGTACGGGGTCAAACCCGGGTCAAATCCGGTACAGGTGGCAACCAACCCTCGTCCTCCATGCAGGACTCTGTTTTAAACGTAAGCCGACACGAAAAGCCTCACATATTTCACCGCCCACCCCCCTATATAATAATTCGGCGTAATGGGGGGGGGGATGGGGGGTGCAGCAATAGTAGTCCCGATGAAGCAAAAGAAATGACAATGCAAACAGTCTGTGTGTGTAACGAACCGGACACTCTTAAAAATGGGAAATAAATAATTGGCGACGTTTCGGCCACCGGCCTCTCTTCGTAGCACGTGCACGGTGCTGTTATGCGCTGTGAAGAAGGGCCATTGACCGAAACGTCACCCAATTGTACTTATAAAAAAAAGATCCACACGTGACCGTGTTGAGGTTTTGTTGCTGTGAACTGTTCTTGTGCACCACTGCCAACGCAGCAGCAGCCCATTCTGTGTAAAAACGAGGCGATTGAGATTTTAGTTTTGTTTTTATTTGTTACTCGGATGATGGTGGTCCCGTTTAGCCAGCTGCCCGTCTATTTTACACGGGAGATCCGTGGTGCTGCGTGCGCACAGCAGCAGCAGCAGCAACAACGGAGACAAACACATCAACATTGCAGTGAACGAAGGAGTAACACAGGAGGGTCCCTACAAGAGATATTGGCCCAACGAACAATCGAGGCGATCGGGGCGCGTTCACGGTCGACCGACGTACGGCTCGGGCGAAGGAGCAGAAGAGGCGTCGTCCGATTCCCTTCTCCGCGTGGTCGGTCGACTTCGCCCCGGTGCCCGTGGCCACGTGGGCACCGACAGTCACAGAGCCCCGGACCCTCGACGAGTGAGGAGCAGCCTCGCAGCGTAAAACCGCGGACACGGTTCAATCCGCAACAGGGATTACAATCCGCCCAAGGATAATTATCGAATTCCCCTTTGCCCCTCCCCCTTTCCCTCCCCCCCACTCCCTTTGCCCCCCTCCTTTGCCCCCCACCCCCAGGCTTGCTGGTAGGCGTGACTCTCCGCTATGCGTCCGTCCCGGGCCCCCCCACGCCGCCCCCCCGACTGGACTGCCCGCTGGTGGACGGGGGGCCCGACACGCTGGTGGTGAATGCGAGTGGCCAGCTGCTCGAGTACACGTTGCGCCGGCGCGTCGGCCCCGACTCCGCACCCGGGCACCCCGAGAACCAGCTGCTGCAGCAGGTGAGGGGTGGGGGGGGGATGGGGGGCAGCTGCTGCAGCAGGTGAGTGGATGGGGGGGGGAGGGGGGGGCAGCTGCTGCAGCAGGTGATGGGTGGGGGGGGGGCAGCTGCTGCAGCAGGTGAGTGGATGGGGGGGGGGAGGGAGGGACCAGCTGCTCCAGCAGGTGAGTGGATGGGGGGGAGGGGGGGCAGCTGCTGCAGCAGGTGAGGGGGTGGGGGGGGGGCAACTGCTGCAGCAGGTGAGGGGTGGAGGTGGAGGGGGGGCAGCTGCTTCAGCAGGTGAGTGGATGGGGGGAAGGGCACCCTGAGAATCTGAAAATGGGTACTTATTGATACTTACCTGAGACAATACCACAAATGTTATTATTAATGGAGGGCCTAATTTTAAAATCTTGACATTTCAGGAATCCCTCCCCCCCTTTGGGAAGATAATAGACCTGCCCAGGATCTTCAGCATTATTTCTCCATGTAAAATAAACATGGACTGCTGTCCATCCGCTGTGTTTATGGGAATTCCCTCCCATCGTCTCTATGGTCAAGTCCTACTATCCTTGTTAAATTCAACAAACGTATCAACTGCCATCACTTACACCTTCAATAGTGCTGTCCGTGGCTGGCAACTCGGCATTTTGGGTCTTTTTGAACCCGTGCTAAGCAACCATGATTTATGTATACAGCATATCTACATGTCCTTACCCCGCACCTCCGATAAGCACGGTTGGCTACGTACGGTGCAAAAGAAGTTCAACATGCATACATTGTCATGACCTTTCTGTCCGCTCATTCTGTTGGAGGATGAAGAAGTAGTACTAGCCCGCCTACCACATGGGGAACGAACACAGACTGCTTGTGTGGGCATCCTTCCTCCCTCACAACCGTTACTCACGAGCCTTCACCATAGAGCACATGAAGTATTGCATACGTCGATTCAACAAGCCTGGCTTTTCAATCGACAGGATGTCAGTCCCTAAGTTCTAGATCCAAATATTTTTCAATGTTTATCCAGAACCGGAGAGACCGGGGTCTCGTTTCATTTGCCAGAGTGACCCGGGACCACAAAATAAATAAATAAATGGCGAAATGCAATCACGAAAAAAAACCAAGCAGAGCAATGAAGCGAATGGAAGTCAGAGCAAAAATGAGCTCATCGAAATTCGAGCAAAGATCAACCGCTTTACAGAAAATATCGAAAACAAAGTAGAAACATAATCAGTAGTAAGTAAAATATTTTTTTTTTAGTGCAGGTGATAGCAGCGGGCATCATTGTTGTGGAATGTATCCCCTCCCCCAGCCAAAACTGTGACGAATATTCAAATGTACCAGCTGGCCGCACGTTCGTGTACACAGCAAGGAGGTAAACCCCCCATCCCATCAGCCTCCGAGCCCCCTAGACCCCACCTCCCCCACCCCCCAAAAAAAGAAAATGCCACAACTGAAAAAAAAAACCGCGATGGATCCGCGCGATATTTTTATTTATTTATTAAATAAGGTGGAACAAAAACAAATGAAATCGTTATGAGTACATGGCCCTGGCGTGTTTGTGGAAGGGCATTCGCGAATAACAGCGGCGGCTGGCAACCGAGCAGAGCGTTCGACCCTCGTGACTCCGCAAAGCAAATCGCTTTAGCGCCGGCAAAACGCAGCGAAGAAATGAGACCGCGGATCAGAGAGGGCTTTCACGGAGAGGCAGATTGGATTCGTGAACACCACCGCCACTACCACCCATACCACAATCCCCTCCACCCACCCGTCATACGTGAGACAGGGCAGCTGGGTCTACCGGAGCTGCAGTGGTGCGCCCTGCCCGAAAACTGGAATGCGATTCAAAAAATAAGAATCCCCCCCCCCCCAAAAAAGAAGGAAATTATAGTTTGCGGCGCTAAAAAATAAATAATACCGACAAGGTGACAGCACGTCGGCGTGTGATTTTAATGCTGCCAAGGGAAATGTACTTTTTCGTATATTAAATGATAAAATATATCTGCGCCAAATAAATTGGGTCGGTGCGGTGTTGGCGCGTTTGCGATGGGCCGGCGTGCGTCCTGGTGCCGGCGATCTGCGGTGAACGCACAGAATTACGAGGTGATGGATCTGGTAGCCCCCACCACCCGCGCCCCCCCCCCCACACACCCAGGTCCAAACATTAAATTGTACTTTAATTCATTATCGAGCCGGGGATAATAAGGAATAAAGATCACGCGCAGACGCGCACGCGAACGTAACGGATATACACACGCACAAAGACAAAGGCCTCTTGTGCATAACCTGAACAATGTGCTGGCCCAAGAGAGGGTGGTGATGTGGAGAACACCACTTCCGGCCACTTTTGTTTCTCCATTGCCGTTGTGTATTTACACACTACACCCGGTACTAACTGATTGCTAAATTGACCTACTTGAAGGGCCAGGACAGGTTTAGATATGTCACCATGTCACCCAAGTTGGCCATGAGCGGGAATCGAACTCAGTTTGCTGGCAGCACTTGCCCCAACAATCTGTGAAGGCTCCACTGGGGTCTTTGTATTTGTCTAACACATAAACACACATACATGGCGCACGTACAGATGTACAGAGACAAAGTGTGTGCCGCCACTGCACACGAGAGGGTGGGTGGGTGGCCAGCACCACGCCTGGTCACCTTTGTCTCCCCAGTGGTGATGTTTACACACCACACCAGTTCAGATAATAGTCACAGTTTCGTAGCTCAGCGCGCTAACCGCTGCACCACCCCTCCCCACAAACATACAGACACGCATCCATACCCGCACAGACACTCGCGGGCACGCACGCACATTCATTCCAGACACATTCACAGGAGCAGACACACACATGCACACACAGATTAACACTATCAGAACACACACAAATACCATGCCGAGACCATCAAACACTGCAACAGCTGTGCAATTTTAATAGCATTCATGGCTCAATGAGCTCAGTTTTTTATATTATAGAATGTTCATGTAAATTATTATCTAGGAAAGCCCCGCTGAGTATTTTATTAGAAAAGCTCCTGCAATTGGATGATTGGCCAATTCATTTTTAAATAAAGTGTTCCGATTCGTCATGGATTTTTTTTTTGGATGGGGTAGTGCACGTAATGATCTGGCCAAAGATCTCGTGCACAGACGCACACGCGTAAGATCCCCCATCACGTGATTCGAAGCTTTCGTGACTGCAGGAATCCATACTCTTTGATTCTTTCGGTAAAGTCACGTAGGTAGAAATAAAATCAAACAAATAACGACGTTTCGAACGCAACACAAGCTTGCGATCGAAACGTCGTGATTTGTTTTATTTTTCTTCTTGGTTCTTTCGGTAAAGTCACGTAGAATGGAAACAAAAAAATAAAACAGCGTCTGAATGACGCTGTCTCCCCGACAGACCTGGTCTTCATCTGATGACGACTGCTTGCGTTGTGGCCGAAATGTCGTGAGAATTATTTTATTATGTTTTATTTTATTATTTGTATTGTTTCCATTCTACGTGACTTTACCGAAAGAACCAAGAAGATGAATCCCTGCAGTCACGAAAGCTTTAAATCGAAATTGTTTTATTTTATTTCTAACTACGTGACTTTACCGAAAGAACCAAGGAGTATCCTCCACCACCTTAACGGGCCAGTTGTTATTGTATCAGCTCGTCGGCAACGTGCAAATCACTGGGGCTGTTCGGTCATACTTCACCGCACTGGTCAGCGCAGGTTTATAAAGTCTGGGAGCGTAGACTTCGGAGCGCAAAAGTGTGGTGAAACAATTTAAAGAATTTTGCTCAGCTGCCCTGTGCTAACCCACAAAGGTTGACGTTGCCAGTCCATTTGTCGATGCTTGTACCCAGTGGTGGCGATGTTAATCTACAAGCAGGGCCGGAGTAAGGTTCTTGTAGGCCCTGTAGGCACTTGTGTTTCGTCGGCCTTCAGTGATCACTTTATGCATAATTTGGTTTATACCCTTCTATCTGGCAACAAAACTGACACCTTTTTACAAGGAGTCATGTTTGCATAGACCGCAATACCTGCAGTCATAATACAAACAAAAGACATAACTCTGATAATGTGCACTGTCCTTGAAGTTGATTGGTCCACGCCCGAGACAGCTTTCCTTAGAGCCTAGTCTCACATGGGTTGGACCAGATGACACCACTTTATGCAGTTGCCACTGCTGCTGCCTCGTGTTACTACGACTGCTGATATGACTCCGCTTGCTTCACGCGGTACTTTGTCCATAGGACAACAACGATCGTCTTCCCTTGCACTCCTGTCTATTGAGAATGAGATTGTGCGGGGAAAAAAAACACAATTTGAAGATGTTATTTGCTAATTTTGCAATGAAAAAAGAAACTGTATCTCAGGTGTTAAGTTCTCTCACCTTATGGAAAAACCCCGATTAACATGATTCCAGCTCTTTATATATACATTGTGCCTATCCTTGAGATATATTTATCGAAGAAGATCCATTTTTTTCACACAGTTTTCGTAGGCCCTAGGCAGAGTGCCCTGTGTACAAGTGCCAGTATGTGGGCCCTGCAGCAGCGCAGTGACTTCACCGCCGTCGTTTCCACCTCTGCGGAAATGTCGCGCACACCCGAAGGAATAGAAACCCATTTGAAATGAGAGGCATAACCCCACTCGTTTCAACCGCTGCTTGTACCCCCACACACACGATACAATTACAGGCCTATGTCGCCTGCCATGCGTGGTGGTTGCTCGTCCAAGTGACGTCCAGATTCAGACTTTATTTCAGACGGTAAAGACCCGCCCCTATTCACTGGACGAAGAGCTTTGTAGCTCATCAGATTCCTCCAGCGTGAATAAATATTCTGATCTGAGCTTGCGCAGTTCACAGCTACCAAGGACGATGGAGTCGTGGGGGTTGCTTCACCATACTTCACCATGATGGACATCATTTTGGATTTTTAAAAGTAAGCGGGGCAGTGCCCAGGACCGGTTCAGATACCACTGATGTTAGCCGTGTCCGGGATTCCAACTCACAATGCGGGTGTT